TGTCAGAGCCAACTTCGACCACGTTTTTATTTGAACGCTCGTTAGAACCCACGTGTGGTAAATGTTGCCTCATCGGTCCATAGTATTTTTCTAAAAAAAATTCTATCATTTTCTAAATGTTGCAAGATATTAACATTTTTTGAATTTCCGTTCGAGCCATAAGATCCACTTCTTACTAAATGGGCGGTGACTATTAGACGCCTTCATTATAGCAATCTTTCTCTATCGCACGGATTTCTATGACTTACTTTATCGTTCTCACGTAACGGCCGATGAACCATGGGGACTTTCCGACCCTGTATACTTTGTCTAATAATATTGGTCAAACTGCTGAAGGGATTATATGATATACAAGTATGGTTAGATTCAGAAAAATACGTAGTTTCAAAAAACTAAAAGTATACAGGTTGTTCCATTTAAAAAAACCTTACTTGTTTTCATATGTCAAAAACGTGACAGTTTATACAATTCTAAGAATTCTATAAATTATTATAAGAGGGTTAGATACCTGTGTTATTCAATTTCAGATTTTGGACTTGTTTATAAACAAAAGTTTTCATTATCTTAGATACGTACCTGATAGATTATAACACTGACCCATATCAACAAATCATCTGACAAATATCAGATTACACCAAAACGACCACACAAAATTTAAATAGTCCAAAAGATATACATCTCCTACATGTTCAATTCCACACAGTCATGCAAAATTTCAACCACTTGTCTGTCTACTTGTTTATATTCGTCTAGATAGGGACGTAGTAAAACAATCGAAGTAGATAAAACGAGAGAAATAATCGAATATAATCTGTAAATATTTAATTTCATCGATTACAATTTGACAAGTAAATGAATATAGTTCGATACAAGTTATTACTAAAATACGGGGATCAATTGCCTTGTCCTTCTAGAGAAAATATTACTTGCTATCGCGATTAGGTATCCTGTTTTGATATTGAATTCTTTCTAAAAATAACGTTTGAATCTTCAACATCATTTACGCGTCAAATGGTACAATGTAAAATACCTGATAACTTAAAGTTTATCAAAATTGATTGATACCTTAATTCCTCAGAATTATTTTACTGATCAAATTTTGAGACACCTCGGAGACATATATATAGATAACTATATTTAATTCAAATGAATGTATTTTTTTAATAACTAGGTATATAGGCTGTCTTACTGTGACGTAATATTTCAGACTACTCGATTTGAATTTTGAAAATTTACGCTTTCGGGTTTTCGGATTTAAATAAAATAATGCCATTGTTGTAACACTTCCGATTATACCGAAAGTCGCTATCTACTTGCTTATTTTAAATGGAACTCCCTGTATATTTGGATTCTCCGCGTAAATTTAAGGGGGCTTTTATCACTTTATTATATATATATCTCTAATGGTGGTACTTAGTTAAATACTGATTAGAAAATAAAGGGAAAACAATATGTATTCATATGCTGATATTTTAAATTTATTATTTATTCATGACAATGCAATGGAATTATAAATATTCTTTCTGCTCATTGGCGATGAGCAGAAAGAAGTTAAGTATTTTGAAATCAATTACAATATGGTCGAATTAGTGCAGAAAGAATAATGATCACTTCACCCTAACAGCAAATGATGACTTATGTTTAAGGCTGTCAGAACTGAGCCGCGAGACATAGACGTACGCATTATTTCTATATATCCATTGCCCCTCGACCACGTACGCGTGCTCGGCCGTTTTTGATCATGTTTGGAGGAATTTTTCACCTATTTCGCATTATTTTATCGGAAAATTAGAATATACGTTTTGTAGTATTATTTAAAAATGGCGGAGTAATGAATTTTTAAAAAAACGCTAAATTTTCCGATTTTTCCGGGTTTTCTTCGTTTCTAATTATCCGATCGGATCGGAACGACCTCTCGTTTTATTCGTCTACAAATTGTCTGTTTATAGCATTCAGATTGCTTCGTTAGTTTAGGTTTTATAAGCAATAAACTAAAAAAAAATGCATTTTTTGTATAAAAATGTTTTATAAAAAATTAATTAATGGTAAATTGGAGTAAGAAATATATAAACATATATTTACACTGTCTTTTATGTGATGGCACAGTTCGTTTGCCACTAGTATTTTTGTCACAAACAAAACCTCTATTTTGCTCTATTTATTGGCCTAATGAACAAATAAGACTTCGTTGAATGAAAAAAATGAAATTTGTCATAAGGAGTTCTTAGATTTTACAAATAGGTATTTTAGTAACGATTAGTCAAAATTTAGATATTGTGTAATATTATCCTGTAAAATTCAACAACAGTAAGTACAGTAATGATTATAATTTTATCAATAGGATTCTTGTACCTTGTTATGGCAGATTAAAGGTACCTAACTTGAAAAAAATCAGTATTATAGATTTGATAATTTTATTTGTTTACAAATTTGAATTGAAGTAGGTACTTATATAATTGCCACTATAATGTATGTTAGTCCAGTCGGCAGAGGCTGAAAAGTTACTGTTGGTGACATTTTCTTGTTAACTCGGAAATAACTACACAGGAATACTTTAAATGATGAGTACAATCACAGGCTAATTTGCTGACAAAGTATTTTATCAGGAAAAAAAGTTATTATCAATTTAATCGTGAAAAAAAATTTTTTTAGTAGTTTTCTTTAAATAACTAATAAAGCGGGATGACTTTGTACGAAAAAATGCTTAAGATATGATTTTGTTTGTAATAAAAATAGCTACAAAATGGCGGTGGTCCGATTATGAAATTTGCAATAACAAAGCCGTGAGATTGAAAAAATGGTATAAAACGTCAATTTTTTAAAGTTGCTGTAAAAATGTCAATTATAAACAAAAAGTAATAAAACTTTCGAAAACTATAGTTCAATATATATACAATAATGACGCTAAAGCCGAAAATCAGGAGAGCAAAACTTTTTGTTCTATAAGGTGTTATACATTCATCGGCATCTGAAACTCGAAACTTTGCCAAATTTGTTCGAAGCTTTGCTGACACTTGAAATTTGGTACACACATAGTGTAAATATGCAGAAACCAAAAGCAATTTGCAAAATTCAAGTATCTTCATTTTTGCAGTTTTGGTAAGGTTTTATACGTCACCCTAGTTTTATACGTCACCGTTTTTTTAATTTTTGGACGTATATTTATGTATATTTATAAAATATTCCATTACGGTAGATTAGCCAGCACAATCACCTACAACTTAAAAAAAAAATAATTTTCATCGTTTAGATCCTAAGCTACTTAACATTTTGCGCCTGTTAGCCGTAGTCGTACATTATTCAACATATCAATATAAAACAAAATCGTACGTGTGGGGTAAACCTTTAACTTTTCACTTTTGTATACTATTAGAAATATGCAAAAGTAAATTTAAACAATTGTTTACTTAAAGTTAAATGTTTACCCCACACGTACGTTTTTGTTTTATGTTGATACGTTGAATAATGTACGAATATGGCTAACAGGCGCAAAATGTTAAGTAGCTTAGGATCTAAACGATGAAAATATTTTTGTTTTTAAATTGTAGGTAATTGTGCTGTCTAATCTACCGTAATGGAATATTTTATAAATATACATAAATATACGTCCAAAAATTAAAAAAATGGTGACGTATAAAACTAGGGTGACGTATAAAACCTTACCAAAACTACAAAAATGAAGATACTTGAATTTTGCAAATTGCTTTTGGTTTCTGCATATTTACACTATGTGTGTACCAAATTTCAAGTGTCAGCAAAGCTTCGAACAAATTTGGCAAAGTTTCGAGTTTCAGATACTTAGAACAAAAAGTTTCGCTCTCCTGATTTTCGGCTTTAGTGTCATTATTGTATATATATACATATATTGAACTATAGTTTTTGAAAGTTTTATCACTTTTTGTTTATAATTAACATTTTTACAGCAATTTTAAAAAATTGATGTTTTATACCGTTTTTTCAATCTCACGGCTTTGTTATTGCAAATTTCGTAATCGGACCACTGCCATTTTGTAGCTATTTTTATTACGAACAAAATCATGTCCTAAACATTTTTTTGTACAAAGTCATCCCGCTGTTATTATTAAATTGTTAATAACTTTTTTCCTGATAAAATACTTTGTCAGCAAATTAGCCTGTTATTGTACTCATCATTTAAAGGAGGCCTGTATAGTTATTTCCGGGTTATCAAGGTTTGACACAGGCCGAACCTCTACCAACTGGACTATGTATCAAAAATTGAATATTTATCAGCTAAATAAATATTAAGAGTAAATTAAAAATATGGAGAAACAAATTTGAAATTTATAAAACCAGGTCGAAATACACAGATAAGAATTTAATTATGATAAAGCATTTCATGTGGCGTAAAAGGCATTTCCGGCATATCCGGTAACCCTGCGGTGTGCAGAAGGCATTAATTTATTTATCTGTAATCCGATACTATGTAAAATGACTCACGCCGTTCAAACACCGGTAACCTTTGCATCAACATTGAAATAAATAATTTATAGCGACAGGACCAATCATTATATTCGCATTACTAATCGCATAATGAGTTGTTTATTGTTGTCCACTTGTATCTGAGTTAGAACCTCAACATGTTATTTTTGGAACGATTTTTCGTTCACATCGTAAACAAATATCATCAATAATTATAAGAAATAGTAATTCTTAAATAGCTTCTTAAACAGGAGTCAAGGTTAAGCAAAACACATTAGATAATGGTCATTGTGGGATTGTTATTAAATTACATTTGATTTATTGCAAGTTTCTCTGCGCCCTCAGCTTTTTACAGGTAGAGACTAGATATTAATTTTAAAGTATCACGTTTCAAAGAAATTAGATATAACAACGTTCTGCTAAACCAATATTTGCCTTTGTTTAACTTTTAACGTACATATTTTTGCACTTTTGACAATTCCTAACCTAAACGTTTGCGTAAATACGCGTTTTTCTCCAAAATAGTGGCGACATGACTAGAGTAAAAATCAAATACGTACCAGCAACTTCTTCAAGAAAGGAGAGACACTGTTAAACAATTACGGCCATTTGAATAACACAAGGTTTAATATTTTTTCATCATTCACTCACGACTACACAACTTAATACATTCTTCTCCAAAACTGAAACTGAATAATTCACCATTGGTTTGGTTCCATGTCCATGTGCTGGATAAAGTTGATTTCTGTTAGTCGTGGAAAAGGAAAATTGATACGACTAGGTTAAAATAAAACGAGATAGACGTCGCGACTGGAAAAAAGAGAAATGTGTAAAAGATGTGTCTGCGCCTGTAACAGGAGATTGCTGTCTTTCCTGAGTCCTCACTTGGTGTTGCCTCCACGACATAGATGGCGCCATCAGTAGTTCAAATTAATTCAAAATTTCCTTAACTTTATTTTCGTATGGATTAAAGCACAAAAAAAACTATATCTATAAAACAATAAATTTAGAGACAAAGCGACTCATTTTTATATTTATCTACAACTAGTTAACTAATATAATAAATATTACAAATTAAGCGTTCGTGTTTCCATTTTAAAAATTATAAACGTAATATAACATTTATTTTTTTTAGTGTTTTTGTAAATTTTCTGATAGTGCAAATAAATAGATAAGTGCTTAGATATGTGCGTGGTTAAGGTCCAACTACAGATATCGATATTTTACTGGAAGTGGTATTTCACGTGATTGACGCAGTTACATCCAACGCTGACAGTTTTTTCGACCTTCATAAGGGCGCATATGGATTTTGCAGTGGCGGGCCATTTGAAGAATACAAAAGTCTTCTGTAGGGGTTGACATCTGACGTCTTTTACTGCGCAGATATCCTGAAAATAATAGTTTCAAATAAGACAAAGTTTTGGAACTTTTAAAAAACCTGCCCGACGTACATGTTTTTCGAAAACAAAAATCCTTATAAAACAATGTTTTCCCTTTTGCAAAAATACGTGTCAGAGCCTCTGTTGGAAAAATTGTATTTTTATGGAAGTTTCGGACAAGGAGATCACTTTAAATGTGAAATTATGTGAAAAATTTATTTTCAGAACTGTTTTCACTTTTTCAATTATTACTTCACTTGTTTTATTTCTTTTTAATATTAAAAAAATCACCAAATATTTAAATGATCACTTTCTATGCAATACTTATGAAAAAGGTCGTAAGACAATTTTTTTTAACAACAATAATAAAAGCCCTTCTTTTTCTTAAACATTATTTTTTGTTAATTGATAAATGATACTGAAAATGTTACAATTGAGCCAAAATTTTAAATGAATAACAGAGGTTCTATTAAAACAATTTTTATTTTTGACTAACCATATTTTTATTGAATCATATAAAGTACTATCGTTATCCTTATTATAAAACGACTGCCTCTTTTAAGTAAAAGGAAATTAGTTGGGTTTTGGCGGTATGCATTTGCAGCCCACTTTAATGGTCTCCCTGGTCAGTCTCCAACATTTTTCAGAGAACTTTCTTTTCAAGAAAAAATACTGTTTCTGTATGGATACGCAACGGCCGTGATGCATTTGACAGATATCCTGAAAAAGATTTCTTCTCAAGGTAATTCATGAAAACACTTGAAGAAGTTGGACAGGTTGGCACTAAATTTGTTGTCAAATCATTTAATGAATTTATTCATATTCTTGTCCAACTTCTTCACGAAGCGTCTTCATGAAATAATTCATTAAGAAATTCGCAAGGTACAACATCTAAATCTTTCGTCAGTTACCTACAAATAAATAGTGAGGTTAAGATGCTCAAGTACTTTTTACTTCAGTATATTTTTATAACGAGTGATGAACTAGCAAAGTAGAAGTACAATTTCTTTCATTTTTAATAATAAAAAATAAAGAATTATTAACTTATTCGAGAAAATGCATTCATTTACTACTTGTTTCTATCTATTCACTGCAACTTGTTTACGAAGTTGGTACTAGCCATTTTTGTTACCACGGAGCACCATTGAACGTTACTTAGACCATTGTTTTTACAAGCTGCGCCATCTAAGTGGTGTTATAAGTTACGCTATCTAGGCAACGCACAGTCAATTGTTTCTATCATGGCTAGGTAGATCTGCTTCTATTCTAATAATCTAAGAGCCCATAGATACTTACGGAACTGAAGATACTGTTTTCGGAGAAGCCATCAGCGTGGGTGTGAGGAAGGCAGTCATATTCGCTGTAACTTTTCGGGAAGAACTCGTATCCTGGTTCGTGATGGTGCTTGATGACTTTCTTGACTTTACACCAAATCTGGCTTTTCTGGAAGACACAAAAAAAGGAAATAATAAATACCTGTACTAACTTTTTGTATAAACATAAAATTCAACCAAGACAGCATAAAAAGATCATAAAATCGTTTTATATTATTTCAGTAACTCGAACTTACTACTCATCACTTAGGATTAATAGAAATTTCTTGAGATTTATCATTTAAGGTACTTTTTAGTTCAGTTAATATCAGTATATATCACTTGAGAGTAGTTTAGTGTATCTTAATTTGCATTTACCTTGTCCTGGTTCAGTTTCAGTTCTCCGCTCTCTGGGAGTTGTCTTCCAAAGATTTCATTGCTATGGTCCCAGTTATTTTCCCGGTAGTCGACATCCAATGAGTCACCGTCGGTACTAAAGGCTTCTGCAAAAGGGTCTTCTACGTAATAGTCCCCTAAGGTGTCGTAGTATGGACCTAAGGGCAGTTCATCCGAATTTCTCTCCGACAAGAGAACAGCATTTGCCCCATAAGTTATTGCTACGACACATAGTATAATCTGCAAACAATTAAGTTCCTCAAAACGGCAAAAAAACATTTTTCGGAGGTTCAGTTTGAAATTGGGCGTGTGGTGTATTGGACGTGTTATTTTATTTATTTTGGTAAAAAGCAGCATTGTGTCTATTAATAAAGTATTACTTCAAAAGGAAAACAACCATAGAATTTCATTTAATTTTGTATGTATAACATGTGCAAATTTTTTGTGCAAATAACCAAATCCTACTAGGACTTTTTAAAATACGCTTTGCGTCAAAACTGACGCAGTAGGTACTAAAAATGGGCTCCAAGTTGATTTTCTCGCCTGTTTCTAATCTGATTTTGACAATCTACTGTTTAAATTACATTTATATCTCAGTAATGGTGCTACTACAGAAATTTTTATTGTAATTTCAGTTTTTAGTATATACGGGGTGTAAAAAGAAAATAAGTTCTTTTTTTCTTAAAAATGGAACACCCTGTAGGTCATGTCAACTAAAATCGAGAATAATCCAAATTGTAGTGACATGTTCTCTGAACAATTTGTTTTTTATTCATGTCATTACCTCTGCCGCAGTTATAAAATGTTATAAAGTAGGTACACAAAAGTTGAAAAAATTAAAATGTACACGTAGATATTTGATAATAAAAATAATAACAATTCAATGACAAGAAAAAGAGCAAAGTTATAAAAAAAATCTCTTTACTCTCGCCGTATGATGAAAACTGAAATTTCAATAAAAACTCTAAGCATATAATTAAAAACACCATAATCGTATACTTTTATGGGTATACAAGGTGTTTATTAGGTTCTTGTACAAACTTTCAAGGGTGAATCTTTGACTAATTTTAAGATAAAAAGTTGGCTTGGTTCTTGAGGTACAGGGCGTCCAAAAAAAGTTTTTTGTTTGGTATTTTGATTATATTTTTGTCCAATAATAGAATTTTGTAAGTTGAGTTAAGAGTTTTCGAAAAATAAGTGAAAAAGGGTCATGTGCTACGTTACGCTTACAAATTACTATCACAAAGTTAGTGAAAATTAGGAAAAAAAATCCAAAAAAATGTGCAACATTTTTTTGTACGCTCTGTATCTCAAGAACCAAGCCGTTGCAGACCCATGTTCATATGAACTTTTAATCTTAAAATTAGTCTAAGATTCACCCTTTAAAGTTTATACAAGTATTTAATAAACACCCTGTATAATTACATATTTAATTTAAATACTTTAACTGTTGCGGAATTGTAGAGAAAATAACAATAAAAGCACAAAAATTCCCCAGATGTACATTGAATTAGCAACTTTAACAGATTAAAAGCTAGATATATAATTAAATAGAGAATATTCCATTTTGTCTATTTCGTTAATTATAAATTACATTAGCATATAAAGTGAGAAATCTTTTGTAATAATTTGTATGTATATCAAACTACACAAGGTGAGTCAAAGTAAACAGACAATTCACGAACAGGAAAAGTAAGAACGAGAAATAAAATGTATGCAAGGTGTCCAGGCAATGGGTTGGACAAAAATAACACCACAAGTTCTTAAAAAATTATAATTTTTTGTTTCTCGTTAAATGATAATTTTTGAGGAGCTATTTATTTGAAGCTATTTCTACTAATTGTTCAATTTACTGTTAGCTACTAGGTAGTCTTACCCTCCCCTCCAAAAAAAATACAACTACAGTCGGATCCCAAAATAATAGGCAGTGATTTCATTTTTAATCCGGCTCACCATTTTTAGCAGTCAACACAAAGAGAAGTACGAGCCGTTTGTAAATTCTTCATATAATTTAAAAATAAAATAAAAAAAAAAATTTAAATAATTATTTGCGATCTTTCGCACTAAATGACGTCACTAATCAGCGCTGCAGCAAACAAACGTTTAGAACATTTATTTTGCGTGTTAGACTTTAATAAATAATTATCAACATATCAATTAACAATCTCTAATTTTTATATTTACACTATATGATTACACAAGGTTATAGATTATTTGTGGACATTTAAAGAATTATATGCAAGTTTGCGTTTATCTCGAAAACTACCTCGTTGTACCGATAACAAACAAACATATCTTTTTTACTTGTCGAATGTCGAAGAGAATTTCTGCTATTGGCATTAACGTTTCCATGAACGTGAAAGTAAATAATCAAAGACTCATCTAATGAATAAGTTATCAGCCACTATTACCCTGGTCAATCACGCAACATTTATATGTATTTCCCGTACGCGTGAGATATGCGAAAAGCAAACATGAACCACAAGCAAGAGGTTAGCATCACCTACGTACAAGCCACTAATTGACTTTAATAGATAAATTAGACCATTTTCTACAGTGGCCCCTAGCTGCCTTACGTTTGCAGGCCACTTATTAGGTGTATGGGAGCCAGTATTAGTGCGAAATGAGATAATAACAGTGCCAATTTTAAAATTCAGATCGCACGAGGAAATAGTAGAAGAGTGAGCTGGAACGGGGCTCCTTTGTTTTAAATCCCCGGGTAACTGGATGAATTCAACGAGTCCGACGACACCACAAACTTGAGTGACTTATGTTATGTGACTATTGTTTTTTTGAAAAGTTAGTTATGGACTGCGACTGTTCAAATTAAATTTGAGTGTTGTTGAGGTGATAAAGCGGGAAAATGTGGGCTTCCGAAGAATTTCTCAACAAAAACATCAGCTCTGTCGAGCACAAGACGTAAGTAAAAACTGTGAGGTGGTGGTACACTTAGATGTAGGTTTGATTGACTGGACAGGGGCGTACTGGTCGAAAAGGAGCAAAAACATTTTTTAATAATGTCAATAATGAATGGCTCGATATTATTTGAATTATTAACTTTTGTTAATAACATTTTTTAAATATTTCTGTGATAAATTTTAGTCACTTGAAACTGGTTGATTCATTTTTGTGGTTAGAAGATGGGGATCTTTTTCAATACTTAAAACTTTGCCTTTTCCACGTTAACTTTGTAAATGAATTCCGCTTTCGCAAGTTGCTTTTCGTTCTGCGTACCCGTTGACGTCACAAGGCGAATTATCATGTTTATGAATTAATAATAAATTGAGGGAAAAACAAGTTAATTTAAGGATAAGATAAATATGATGGTGACTTAGTTTGAAGTCATGAAAAACCCTGGACTATTGCCGAGGTGCACATTTTATTGAAATATGCAATTATACAGGGTGTTACAATAAAGAACTGAAATCCGGTAACCACACATCTGGGACCCAAATAAGATGATTTAGGCTAACTTAATCTAACACAAATGTGACTAAACTAACTCTCACTAAAATTGTATAAATATTATACTCCGCTGTCGAAATTATAGAGAGTGACTAAGACATAATATAAATACACTATTACTATAATGCGCATAAAATATAAAATGATTTTTATAACGGTTCAATATTATTTATCTTTGAGCCGCTCACTACGCACATCGATAGAATCTATAATCGTCTATAGACTGAGTTACACTGAACGTCGATCTATATTCTATCTCTGTCTTTTGCACTTGGTAGGGAATATAGGGAATAGGGAAATTCTTTTTTAGTGGGTGTAAACGGGCTTGATTTAGCCGTCCTGAGAAACGTCATAGCATAAGCGTAGACGCGGGGTCTAATTCCATTGCTATAATAAATTTATAAATTAAAAAACACAACTGGGACGTTTTAAAATGCTGTAATAATCAAAATGGATCAAAGTGCCGGTTATAGCAAACCTTAAAAAAATATTAGATGTTATGTTTTATTATCTTTTTTCAATATTTTCTATATCTTGTTGCCTTTTACGCAGACACGCCAATGGATTTTCGTTCCCGGCACGCTTCATCCCCCTTACTAGTCCAAAAGCTAGCGATGAGTCACTCTCTATAATTTCGACCGCGGAGTATAGTTCATTATTAGTAAAGGTCGTATATTAATGATAAAAATACACCCCTCCTTTACTGACGCACATGCGAATTATTTTTATTACAATAAATCTTAATGTTTTGAAAAGCATCTTCCTTTTGCCGAAGTTAGTTAGGTTCTATGAAGATTCAAATATATTTTTAATTTATTCAGCATAACCAATATTCTCCATACCATCCCAGAGAAAAAAATCAATTGGATTAAAATCTGGATAGCGCGGTGGCCATTGTATAGGAGAGTTTTGACATCGTCCAGTCGAGCGGGTTGGGAATTTATTATTTTATGCACGTTTCTACCATAATGAGGTGGAGCACTGTCTAGTTGAATTCTTAAATATATATTTTTAAATTGGTGGATGGGAAGGGGCTAAAATGCTTCTGTGTACGATCTCCCGAATTAAATCCAATGGATTTCTGTTCCTAGGATAGTAAAATGTTGTTTATCGATCTACAGAAACTCATAACAATTGCAATGGTATAAATAATATTCGTATAATATTTTTAGTTTAACTAAGTTATTACTATTTTCGTTTACCCTATATACGCAATAAAATAATAATAAAACTGAGGACAGTCGATAAGGGCATTTTATTGAAAAATTTAAGTGCAACACAACTGATATTGACAGCCGTATAAGCACACACAAGAAAAGAGTCGCGTCATAAGTCGCCATACGTATATCAATAATATTTGTTTTTCTTTCTTAATCAATTGATTTAACACAAAAACATTTTGTCGCCGAGTTAGTAAATAACACTTACGGTATCAAACGCAGGGGGGTACTGAATTCTTATTAAATGTCAAATAATACATTATAAAGTGAGAATTCCTATTTATACAGGGTGATTCAGAACCAATCCAAAAAATTTTTTGAATAAAAAAAATCAAAAACGGCAATTTGAAAATATACTTCTGCACGGCACTGGATATGATCCACTGTAGATCCTGACCTTGCGCAAGGCAAAGGATACAGTCGGCGACCGGCACGGCAGCAAAGTGTAATAAAAAATGAACGGACAAAAAGTTGAAAGAATTTCTTTCCCAAAGAAAGAAATAAATAAAAATTTTTATCATCTATTTTCTATCAGCAAATTTAACTGCTTTTGCCTACTTTATCATAAATTAAAACAATATCCGTCAATTCGAGTTGCTATACACATTTTTAACACTTGAAAAACTAATGTAAACTATCGCAAAACGTTAACACTAAAATCGAATTTCAGTATTCGGAATCGCCTACAACTTTTAAATTTTTTTTCTCGGAAACTTTAAGGATTATACAATACAAAATTGTTTTTTACGATACTGACTTCATTTTTCATGACACATTTATTCCCAAATTTTTTTGAATAAGTTAATAGTAAAGTTATTGTTTTGAGTTTTTCCATCATTTTTGCTTAAAGTTTGTACTCGTGAAAACGCGGCATTCTTCAAGACCTCAACTGGGTGCATATCTACGACGCTGTATTAGATAATTTTTGCTTACCTTCGTATAAACAAACAGATAAATCCTCGGGAATATAAATTTTTATCAATACTGCTATAATGATGTCCTTATCATTCGTATTCACTTTTGAGGTATCCACAACACAGGTAAGAGGAATAAAGTGAATCTTGCAAATGCATTAAAAAGACATTATGTTGAGGATAATTATATTTTGATACAGATAATGGTTTGGGACCATATTTCGATTAGTTTTAGTTAGTTGAAGGTGGGTCGTTGAGTAATAAAGTCTAGAATGTAAGTAAAACATCAACGTCCTTAGTGAGTGACTTGATGGTACGTTGACAAAAAAATTAAATGTGGATCAAGGCAAAGACGGTCCTGGCCTTGTTTCAATATTTACAAAATTATCAAAAAGTGAGGTGAAAACGTTTTAATTTTAAGCGACCCTAATATTTACATGTAGTTTGATTATTGTAGTTTAAACATTAGTTTTGGGGAATACTACTCTTAGTATTCAGTATAGGTACGTTTTAATATTAATTAATATACACACGTCTCAAGATTATATTATTTCCAAGGGCATTTTTTTTTATGAACGCCAATTAGGTACATATTGGCATATGTATCAGTTAATATTTGTGGAATGTATTAGATTACGTATATGATTCTCACAACGTCAAATGTATTCTTGTTTTTCTGTTGCGCTTAATATATCTGCGTATATTCAAAGTGTGCAGTGACGTATCAGCCCAATTTGCGTGTACCACAACAAAAACAGAGCAACTATCCATTTAGCGTAATAAAAAAATGTTTCTGAATCGTTTTTTTCACGTTCTGAAACAAATTTGGACAAAAGAAACATATTTTCAGTACATTTATCGGATTCCTTTTTTTGTAGCTGTTCCGTCTAGCGAAAATAATAAAAGCCAATCCCAATGAGACCCACAAACTAAAAAATTAATGTTGTTCTCCTTCTCGCGCAGGAAACAGACGGTTAGTGCATATACTGTTATGGTATCATATCAACGCAAACAAATATATCTCCGTTCTAAATATATGACCGACACACAAATAAATAATTGAAAAATAAATAACAATTTGCTATAAATAGACGTAAGCTCTTATACGGTATTGTACTTTAAGGTCAAATTAATGTACGGAGCCTTGCAAAATGCAACTTTATGCTGTCGGAGCGTTAGGCCTGCGGAAATTTGAATAAACGATGGAAAGAAATTGTTCACGGTCATCTTGATTCCGCATGAAAATATGGAAGTTTTACAGCGGATTGTTTTGACTGGTGCAGTTAACGTTTCTTATTTTTAATGGCATTAGATGGAATTGCGTTTTAGTGAAATTGCGATTATATCCCAATAGTAAAAAGTACAGGGTGATCCAATTTTTTTGTGCAATTTATTGCGATGCTATTAATATATCTTAATTGAAACAAAATGTATACTCTTGTAAAAGATTCTGCTACAACAATTATTGAAAAAAGATACAACCGAAAAAACGTTTTTTTTTTTAAAGAGAACCTTTATTCTTTTTTTCTGCAGAAAAACGTCGAAACGTTCAATGCAGGGCCGGATCCCAGAGATGGAGAGGGGGGGGGCGTTTGCACAGTTGATATCTAAAAAAAGACCTGATTGGTTTATTTTTATGGTTGGAAATAAAATAAAAAAATTTCTGACGTTTGGGTGGCAATTTCGATCTCAGAATCACTTAATAACATCAGGATTTAGAGACGCCCTAACCTAAAAATGCGCAAAACTTGTTTTTTGTTACATTTAAGGTTATAAATACTGATCTTCTTCAAAATCCATTTTTAATTGTTCAATTATATCTTATCCTTTCCGAGAACTCACTTGTATTCAACGTTTTTTTATTCTATACGCCATATGGGATACGTCATATTGGATCCGCCATTTTGAATTTTGTAATTCTGTAATTCGTAATCAGCGACCCCGAAAACCTCAAGAACTAGTGGGAATTTAGGTGTTTATATTTGATTGTTCACCTGTTGCTAGTCATTTTCGGAATATCGAGGAACACGCTAAACTAATCAATTTTAACAGACGATTTTTCGAAAAGGAAAGAAGATTTTCAAACAATTCAAAACGAATTTTGAAGGGGAAGATTAGTTCTTTCAGATGTTTTGAGCTTTATGGAGAAATTTACCTCGTGATGTAGCATAACCTCAAATATAGACAGGGTTGTTCGAACTTTTAGGTCAAAAGATCTCTAAAACCTAACATGATGAAGCAATTCTGATATCGGATTCAGAAAAACCTTTCGAAAGGTATCTGGATCTGGTTTGTGTTATTTTCTCTCATAATTTTTTGCAACAAAATTTACTTATTAGGTTGTTTTTTCTCTTATCTTTTTACTCAACTGTTTTTCTGATTGCTGACTCTGATTCTGATTACACAAGTATGTCTACAATTATTACATTCTGTCCGATTAAAATATGCTATCTACTGCAAAGAGATACCTAAATCGCAATAAATGTATCACCCTGTACCTATCTGTCTAGCCTCTGTCTCTAAATGCTTTAATAACATAAGTTGATACAGTCCTACAGACAATAAAAGAGAAATCTCGAAAGTTGTTAGGCTAGTATATTGAAATTTCCGACATAGAAGTTAAAATTAAATTATCACGAGAATATGAATATTATTAATAATAACTAAGTATTTAGTATTTAGTATCACGTGGTGTGTTATACGCTGTATATATTTTTATGTGCCTACATTCTACCCTGTATTTAAAATTTAAATTATTCTAAATTATTACAGAATTATTGCTAATTTGACAAAATATATAAATACATATATTTACCACTGTACTATTCATTAAGGTCTAAAGAATATAAAATAATCCTCAGCCCTTTTATGCCGGGCCTACTTGACTGCCATTTAAACCTTTTTATTAATCTGTGACTGCCATCACGTACGTAGTTTCATGGCCCACGGCCTGCTATTAGAAACTTTAAAACCTAAAGGTAGTAAATAATTGCCTTCTCACGACCTACTATGTGTTAAGAGTAAAAAGAGTATTAGATCGCATTGTGCGGAATAGGGTGAGCGAATATGTTCTTTTTTTGGTAAGAATTTAATTTATGAAATTATTTGATTTCAGTGGCTCGTGCCGAAGAAAAACCGGAGTATACCAGGTGGATACAACCAATGAGGTGGTGTTTGAAAATCATCGGTTCATTCGATCACTAGCCATGGGCTTAGGAAAGAGGTACATACATATTAACTGATATTTTCTTAATACTATCTACTACAAAGGTAACCTCGATCAAGTCTACATTTAATTTTTTGTTTTGCGTATAGAAACTGCGAAAATCCAAAAAATTAAACTATCTGGTTTATTTATTAAAATTTTATCGTTTTAGTAATATTTTTGGTAGTAATGTGACATTTATTATATTTTTAACAATAAATCAAGTTCCTGCTGATAAAATGTCACCTAATTATTGCATTTTTTATGTTTACTGGCATGTTAGCAGTTAGCCATAGATTTTTGATAACCTTTTACCTTTTGGCATTATTTATGTATTTTTGGGTGCCAGTTTGGTAAAAATAATCTCTTCATTCACTACAAGCATGATTGTAAAGTACATAAGTATATATTAATACTATTATTAAAACCGAAAGAAAAAAATAGTTTCGTGTATTTATGTAAATTTATAAAGGATCTGCGTCTCATTAAATATATATTTGTCTTCATTATGCGATCTGCGTTTGCTTTTCGTATTTAGCGAAGATTTTGCATGAATGAATAATTAATTATAAACTTGAATTGAAAGAGCGAGGAACTTGGTATATTTAATTTTTTTCTCAGTAATTCCTCTCTGCCAAGACCGATAGATGTTTGTGTACGTTATGGAATTTTTACAGACATTATAAAATCAAAAAATAGAAGTCTTATTTTTAATTATTACTGGAGTTAACTTTTAACTACCGATCATGCAGTGTAGTTACGACTGGTCTGGATATTTTTTTAGTTCTACTTTTCAGTTGTTAGTAAAAGCGTAATAAAAATATTGTGTGGGTATATTAAGGCTCCAGAGAGTTGAAAAACTGAGTATTCCGCAAGGACCAATCCTTAGACTAGTAAGTAAAAGCAATATACAAAAATGTACTATAAAATTTATTAAAAATAATCACTCACCCTCGATACGGACATCCTAAAACTATGGTACAGTGTTCTTCTGGAATACTTTGTTGTACAGTACCGATGTTTTCGCCGATTTGTCTGTTTTTATACATTTCCACCAACATGTCGCAGCAAATGTAATATGGTTTAATACTATTTGCCGAAGATCATAATTCCTTCGATAAGAAAAACAAAATTAATATGTAGTATTTGCCAATTATTCGGGTCTGTGATAACTGGATTTAATTAAAATCCCAATCAATGCGAATAAATAAATGCATATGCATGGCATCGTGTTTGCTTTACTTTGGATTTCTACGGACGCTTTAATCTCCAACAGTATGTTATTCTTGAAAAAATAAATGTTAGTTATTGTATATTGCATATATACAACGTTTCTCCTTTCATGGAATTACGCTTTACTCAATTGTAAAGGTATTAAAATAATTCAAAGAGATACAAAATTGTGCAACATAACCTAACTTAACAAATCCCCCTCTATATCTTTTTAACCGTTGAAAATATCGAAAAACTAACTCTGGCGTCACTCTAGCTCTTCTCCGAAGATTCCAGCAAACCAAACCTCATCTTTCTAGGTTGAGAAATAAAAAAGTTACGGGCTTGGTTAGTTTAAAGAATTTTAGGTGAGTCACGTGACATAACCTAACTTAACAAACCCCTCTCTATATTTTCTAATCGTTGAAAATATAGAAAAATTAATGCTGGCGTCCCTCTAGCATTTCGTCCAGATTCCAGCAAACCAAACCGCATTCTTCATGGTCAAGGAATAAAAAAGTTACGGGCTGTTCGCCTGTTTCAAAAATTAGCATTGAATTATACCATCAATATCTAGTAAAGCTACTAATAAATAATTATTATTAAAAATAAGGAAAAAGATCTTAAGGGGTCTTAACCATATAAGTAAACATTTGATTATACAATTTTTTTTTGTATTTTTCCTAGCACTTTTTCGTGAATTTTTGATGTGATAGCTCAATTCAGACACCCGATTCGTGATCAGGGGGCAAGAATACTATGGATAACATATGTCGCATGAAAAGTACAGACAACTTTTTTTTTGCGTGACTGATATGTTATTATTACAAAACGATTTTGTTAGAATTAGCTAACGTCTTTACAATAGAGTAAAAAAATGAGATTTAATAATAAAAATTATGTTTTATTTCCTCTTAGTTGAATATTAAATGTTTTGACATTTTAGCAGGTAATAATTGCCTGCTAGGCAATTATTCTGACACAACCAAATTTGATTTTAGTTATTGACGTTCGGTTCAAAATTTAAAAAGAGCTGGATTTCTTTAAAAAAATATATATTAGCGAATTTATAATCTAAAAGTCAATTCTAATTTAGCGTACCCACGAATCTTTCTCTGCTAAATTTTAATGAAGTGTTTTTAATTATTAAAGATAGATAAGCTTTTCCTTTCTGATTTTTATAAAATTACTCAATACGTCACTGATTTTTTTTTATCTAGTTGGTAACAAACAAAATATTCCAATAAAAAATACGTGGCAAAAAAACAAACAAAATAATATAACAACTATAAGTAACTAAATAATTCTCTCAATTTCAATTAACCAACTTCCTTTTTCTATGCATTTTTCGACTATTTTATTATTATTTTTCATCCACATATCGCTTAATTTTATTTTTTAGAGTTTTTATACTACAGAGTTTATCCCTATATATTTTTTTCTTAATAATGTTCCAGAAATGACGATAATTATTTAATATTGTAATTTTGTTTCTCATTTTGCCATAATGAATTTTCAAAAGTGTGAAAATATTAGCAGCAGGTACACAAATCTTTTTTTTAACAGTTGGATAGAAAAAGTTTAGTCAATAATTTGATAGTTTAATAAAACAAAAATTAAAAGGAGAAACGTATCTATCTATAATAATTTAAAAAAATAGTTATGCTGAAGCAAAAAATTAAATGTATGGATACTTATGCCCCGTGCATTTTATTCAATTTTGCTGCATAGGCGATTCTGGGAATGCTAAATTACTAACGTTTAACTGAAAAAAATATGTTTTTTATAGATTCACCCTCTTTTTAATTTCAGATACCTATGACTGAATTCAATTTTGCTTGGTAGAATTTTTCCAGCTGGGCCACTGCTTTCTTTTACCATGTTAATGAGAAACTAATTAAAAAAAAGAAAAAATAAACCTCTCATACAAATTACGTTGCTTCATATCGCTTTCTCAAGCTGTATTTAATTATTTTTTTGTCCTCACAAGTCATGTCAAAGTTGGAAACCCTCCGCAATTCCTTTTTTTTTTTTCAAAGGAGTGTCAAGTTTTCAAATGTCGTCTGTATTAGACATTTTTTCTTATTTAAATTTATCGTTTTGTTTCGCTTTGGACCCGCATACACTCTGGAAATCGATGAAATGTCATTTCAGGTAGTCTACATTCTGAGAGATAATCTAATCAAAGAAGAATCATATCTCGAAGGTTGTTTTAAAATCGGAATTTTTTCCTCATTTATATTTAGCATTTAGTCCATCCTTATATCTCAAATCCCCGCAAGTTCATGAAATATTATTTGAGGATAGCAGGTAAAAGAAAATCATGAAAAGTTACTAATGAAGTAACGGATAACGTGCAGAAAATAATTTAGGATAAAAGCAGCTGCTTCAAACTACGTTTGTGAGGCACCAGACACTTAAAAGTCACTTCAGAATAAAACACAATACCTCAAAACAGCCTCAGAACGTATTTCCATATATCAAATGGGTTCAAAATCAATCAAAATCCCTCGTATTTGGTTTAGAATTCTTCAAAAAGCATCAAAACTTCTTTTAAATTTTTCGAGAGTATTTGCCCCCTCATTGATTTGGGTGACGTTTTTCGGAAGTAGGTACTTCACGATATATAAAAGTTTTCTATTTCGAAGTGTTTCCAAGTTGTCCAATGTGTTTTGAAGTTTTCGTGGTATTTTGACGTATTTCGACAAGCTTCTCGAAGGATATTCAGGCAATCAATACATACCCAAGCACTTAATGATTTTTTAGTGTTTCGAAGTTTTTAAAAGTTTCCGATACATTTCGAATGTTGTATTAGTGTATTCTGCAGTCTTTCACATGTTTTAAAGGTGTGTTGGACCATCTCTTTGACAGCAAACTTGAAGAATTTTTATATTTTGTCGTATTCTAATCTGCTTCTAATCTGTTCCTTGACATATATTATTGCTGTTTTAAGTCAAAGAATTTTTAAGTATTTTGTATTACAATAGAAGTTTCAAATTGGCCGTTGGTAAACCCTTACACAAAATATAACACCGTTTACGAATTTAATTACCTATCTTCAGTTGTCTTTAAGAGAAACGTATTTCCCAAGAAATATGGATCACCCTGTACATAAGTTTTACAAAAATGTAATGGACGTATTAAATTTGTATGTTTTAAGAAAGATAAATAAGAAATTATAAATACATTATTATCTTTGTTTTGCTGTTTTAAATGTGAACTGGTGGCAAGTAAAATCAAGTTTTCTGAATTCGAATTCACTGCAATTTGCGCTCATGGCAAAGAACATTTTTTTCTAATCTAACCAACTCTATGGTCTTTCTAGTTTAGGAAATTCTATAGTACAACATAAAGTGACCACTCTGTATACGTAGATAATTTAGAACACACACTCTACGTCTTTACACAGTAAACCAGCGAATTCAGATGAGCGGAAATCGCATAAGCATTGCAGATTACAAACCCTGTACAATTTGTTAGTTATGAGTATGAGTCTCGGCAAGATCTGGCAAAATGAATTAATTTTAGCTTTTTTTTAGAATCAAACCAAAAAGTGCTCGGGTTTTGAAATTTTATATCAACAAGTTGCTGTTTCTTTTTTTAGAATCAGACAAAAACCTGTTTAGGTTACTACTAGGTTAATACCTATATCAAATTTACTGAAATAAATTCATAAATTTATTCATAAAATTCTTCAAAAACGATTAAGATTTTTTTCCATGTTATTTAATTAAAAAAATAACTAATCTCAGCTTATTCAAGAAAATGTATTAATTTTCAATTTGTTTTTATTTATTGTGGGTGTGGGTTTTATAGGTGGTACAGGTGGATGAATAAATATGCGTAATCATGCATGGACGACTGGATAGAAAGATATATGAATTCATAAATGGGGGGTGGATAAAAAGATGGATCCAGAACTCTACAACACGAATTATGCCATGAAAATGGCGTTTTTAAGCATTTTGATCTATTTTCTGTTTTTGATTGAAATTGGACCAGCTTGTCTGACTCTGTGATGATAAATTAGAATTAAACGAGTGAAAAATCATACGTCTAGTGAGCTGGTAGAATAATTTGATTTTTTATAACTCGTCGATCGTAAAAGACGTTTTTTGTTAATTTTGACTTGTTTTTAAAATTTTCCCGAACACTCAGACCCGTTGGGCCAAATCTGAAGGCAGATTCGGATTCAGCGAAAAAAAATACATGGAAATACATTGGTCTGAATACCAGATCCGATACTTTTTTTTGTTGGTCTGTGTAATTAAAGTAATATTTAAAAAACAGAAATTATGACATTTAAATGTTCGACTTAGTTTCTTTATGGTCTAACCTTGGGTTGCTTCTGTTATCCAATTACCTACTGGACTAGATATAAATAAAGAAAATACGCAATAATAAATAATAAGAATATACAATCAAATCGTCACGTATGTTTTCGGACACAGTTATTTGGTACAATTAAAACACAGGAACTAGGACAGACAAACTATGTATTATAAAGGCTATAATCGAAATTATATTACATATTTAAAATTTGATGCGAGGTACCTGCCTAGGCAGTCGAATATAATAGCATGGAATGTGTTAATCTAAATAAATAGTATATAAAATATTACAAACGGATATCGTAGGTATCTGTTTATTTTCGCAAACTGTCGAAGTAATGATTAACTTCCCTCTTTTCAATTTTCAGGAAAATTACGCCGGAGGAGATATTGCCGCCCTGCAGCCACGGCATCTTCCGGCAGAAAACTGCAACATGCGAGCACTTATCGCTCAGCGGATACGCTAGGGTGGCGAAGCAGTCGTTCGGTAATCTCCTGTCGAGAA